ATCGCACGGTAACGTCTTCTTGGCTCGCAGCGCTCTCAGAAGGCCCGCTACGATAGCCATCACAGAGTAGTGTCCTACTCTCCAGGTTCATTGGTCCTCCTCTGGACACCATGCCGCCACGTTGGCTTCTCTTCGAAGCTTCTGCCTCGCTACTCGGGGCCTTACAAGGTTTTACGCCGGCTTACCGATGTCACATACGAGATTGCTCCGTTGGACAGTCAGTCATCGTCGTCCGCACCCGCTACTGACGTCGTCCACGTGACCCGCCTCAAACCGTACATATCCACATATGATCCTACTCTCCTTTAGGCGCCGAGACGGCGCTGCCAGCAGCGGGGGGTTATATGTTACACGACATCGGCAACGAAAGAGCATCATAGACGACGAAGACGATGAAAGCGACCGTGCTCGTGTTGTTGTTGCTGCTGTTCTTCCATCTTGGCTGCAGCTGCCTCTGACTCTCCCTGTATATTTTGTAAATACATTTATTTCATTCATTCTCTCACCCCCGTGACAATATTTTCACACAAAACGTTTGGTGTAGGAGCGGGCTAGCAAGTAGGGTGGCAGGTGGGGTGGCAAATTACACAAAGTCGGCTCAACAGAGGGCATAATGAAAGACTCGAGTCTTAATTACACCACAAAAAACAGACTCTTTCTTGGGGAATAGGGAAGGAGAAAACAGTTTTCAGTGCTACAAAGTGCCATTCAGGAGTGAGTGTAGCATAGGAGGAGTGAATACCCTAAAATTCATTGTGAGGAACCACATCACTCTTTTGTCAAATTTAGCAGCCATGCTTTCCTTAATGTTGTAAGTCAACACTCCTATATATGACGAACAGAGCTGTATGATGTTTCCCACAGGGCTAGTACAACGGAAGGCCACGAGATTGTGTGGCCAGGCCACTGTAATTAGTGGTGTTGTATGTTTTTACATAAATTTGCCTCGTTGATTTTTATAAGAGCATGACTGAAACTAAAGCAAGCAACAATAGAAATCTGCAAAAACATGAAGATTATATTATTGTGACCGCGCTGTCTATCATCAGCCCACGCATTCTGATCCGGTAACGCAGCCGTTACAGAAGCCGGCTTCAGTGAATAGGTAGAGCTGAAGGTGAATTTTTCTGACAACAGCATTAAACTATATAATCAAAACGATTGGGATACGTCCATAGGCTCTTCTAAAAATACATTTCCTTTATATGAGGTTACTAATTTCTCTAAAAATCCACGCATTCAGTTTAGTACAGTTTTTTTGTCATTAAAAAGTGTTGTGTTCATTGCTGTGGCATGGTGTGGCAGGTACATTTTCCTCTATTCTAATGAAAATACTCCTTTAGTTCCTTGAGTGAATAATATCTAAAGCCACAGCAGACGCATTGAGGCCGCCCATGTGCCCGATAGGCATGATCTCGACTGTCTTATATATGTTAGAGGGCTCATTGCTCTGCCCAAGCCAGGACGTCAGTGCGTCTGCAGACCTGGAGTGCTACTTGGAACACTGCATTTACATGGTCTATGCGTGGTTCGTCTGGTTTTTCGCCCTGTATACTGCGCTGTGCACGTACGTTGTGAATAAAAAACAATGAACTAGCCCGACTTTTCGTTTTGTAGACTGTATTGGCGTCATATTGACTAATTCCGCAGGGGCCCTTTAAGCCGTCCATATAAGTCGTAACAGCGATCTGGGCCAATCATTGTTGATATGATGGCGAATTTGGCAATATGCCACAATTTGACAGCGTCCACAATAAAACTTTTCCTTGGTTGAAAGCCACGTCATATTTCTTCTCAAGCGGACCCCGAACCGCCGTTTCTTTGTAGAGGAAGAAATGGCATGATATTGGTATTTCCTTCAACAAGCCAAAACAGCAAAGCCGAGGCCATGTGTAGCTGAACTGTCGCTCAGCTAACATGGATTGGTCGCTAGTTGAAACCTAACGGTTGTATTTTCTGCAATGTGCAGAACATGCGGCTCGGTCATCCCACGACTACTAGGAGTGGTTACTGACGCTTAAATTCAGTATTGTTAAAGGGCCGCAGTAATAGGCAGAATAGGATTCCGAAAAGCGGGGCTTTCGCTCTGTAAGTTGTGTGCGTTAGCTGCTGTACGTGAGCTATTTAAAGAACAACTTCATCACATGTATATAGACTTGATTAATGGCAATGGCGACATGAGTGAACTATGACAAAGTGGCGCTGCTAAAATTCGCTGATGCGTTACGATGCAGAACAGGTGCCAAAACCTCACCTGTTGAGTTGCGAAAGAGCTTTCCTCAGTTATTGTTTGCTCCATTCATTTCTGTGCCTTCTCACAACACGGGCTATTGCATTCCCGTCTGTGACGCCAAGAAGTTAGCGTGGTCGTTACCACTTCAGAAGATTAAATCATGTAATGCACCAAACAAAAATACTGCTATTCTCGGTTTAAGACAGCTGCGGACTGAAGTTGTGCTTTCAAAGGGTGGTGAATTGTTCATCACTTTTTGCAAAACTCTCAGGATAACAATTCAGGCTTAACGCGATAATCTTAAAAAAAGTTTTTGTCATGACGATTCTGGTGTCTGCGTTGGTGTTGGTGTCTGCGACATCGTCTAGATAAAAACCCGATGGATGCAAAAAAAAAAAAAAAAACAGCTGAGCAGTTCCACGCCGAGAAAGCCATCGAACAATGAATCAGTAAGCTCGCGATTGTACGTTGTTGGCTGGCGTCATCACGTGGTCTCGTAAACTCGCCGCCAGATTAGACATGCACGTGCTTACACCTTGTTGGTCAAAGGGAGATCAGTGACTTGCCGGCGCCGGCAACAGCGTGTATTACAACTAACATGTCTAAAAAGAAAGTTCTAATTGCGTTCCCGCCACTTTGTAGTGAAATCGCAACTGGGTGAATGCCTTTTCCTTACCTTAATCGTTGTGATCATTGTAACTGTGGGTATTATTATCATCATCATCATTTACTTTCTGTTTTTATTTACTTTTACTTAGGTGACGTGACCTCCGTGGCAGCCGGAAGACAGTGTCGATTGATTTAGAACAACTGCACTTCTAAACCCAGGCAATTTAGGAAACTCTCAGGTTTTCGCCGTTGAGCTGCGGAAGTGCTTGAAATTTTGTTGGGAGAAACCTTGACGGGCCTCATGTAGTTCCAGGAATCTTGTTGACATCTTTTTTATTGCGTTGTAGAAGCGTACAATAGCAAAAGACGGCCCACTATGCGTTGCGCTAGGAGCTGGTGATTTGAAGGGCCACCCATTATGAAACGTTCGGCCATATCTAATCGTCATTATTATCAACCCCAGCATAAACAAGATGCACTGAATCATAGGTGAGAGTATTTCTTTGCAGACACGGAGAAGGGGGTACAGCATTGATTGATGATTGATTGATATATGGGGTTTAACGTTTCAAAACCATTATTTGATCATGAGAGACGCCGTAGTGAAGGGCTCCGGAAATTTCGACTACCTGGGATTCGTTAACGTGTACCCAAATCTGAGCCCATGGGCCTACAGCATTTTCGCCTCCATCGAAATTGCAGCCACTGCAGCCGGAATTCGATCCCGCAAACTGCGGGTAAGCAGCCGAGTACCTTAGCCATTAGACCACCGCGGCGGGGCAGGGGGTACAGCACTACTTCACTAAATAGCATGGGTACTTCGCAACTGCACTTGCAGCAGGCTTCTTAGGAGAGCTTACAACGGCCGATGTCACGAGCACTTACGTTCATTTCCTTGCGGAAAAGCTATGCATGGCAAACGAAGAAAATGGTGATGCGAACGGGGCCTTGCTCTCTCATGCGAAGGTCAAGCATGCTCTAAGTTTTTGTTACACGTTTTCTTCTAGAAAACGTTGTTCTGCGAGGTTATGACTGAATATATCTACAAGCAGCATGCACAGTACAGCCCACACCAATTAAAGAAAGCCTATACAGTGAAGCGATTTATCACATGATACCGAAAAAGCGTGCTGACTTGCTTGCTTGTTATATTTTGCCACTTTCATGCGCCAAGTTAAAACAAAAATCTCTGAACATCTATGGTGGGCTCCTTAGTAGGCTGGCGAATAAAGATTTCAGGACAAACCTGCGTGAAGTCCGTGGTCGTATGATGATCTCCGTGCTTCATAAATGTCTGTAAAGTGAAACCCGACATAATAATTATGCGTAAGTGTGCATATGTAACGAGTTTAATTGTTTATGTGGATTTTTTATGTGGATGAAAAGTGGTTACAATTTCTTTAGTTGGGAATGTCGCTGCAACTAACGTTTCGACTAGCGGTATTTCTGTGTCTATTTATGTCAAGGTCTTCACTGTGGCACTAATACACGCACACACAAGTAAAAAAAGAATTGAGAACGCGCAGTTTTTGTGGCTTGTGGTCCCATGCCATTAGTTTCCCACGAATCTGGTGTCGTTTTTTGAGACTGCAAACTTTGTTCGGCGGAGCACCTAACCAGGAGGTATCAGTGGTAGCAACTCACTACCGGCCACGGCAGCGGCGGCTGCTGGCTATTTCACCAATACTGTTGTGAGTTGAAGCGGGGTCATTTTTTGAGATGAGTACCGATAAACTCCCGAGCACCAGGTCAGTGTATTCAATCACCCATTAGTAAAACCGGTGGTTTGCAGATCGGCACTGGGAATTGAACCCGGTACTTTCTACACTGAAAGTAGACGTTCCATAATTTCACCACCACTGCTGTCCGTATTTTTTTATGAATATGTCGGTTGTCACCACAGTAGTAAAGAAAAAGACACTTGGCTTGCGGACCCTCAGGTGTTCTACAGACTTAGTCACGACAGCATCAGTAACAAGCGCCAGTCATTAGTTCAGCTCCACTTACTGCACCTATATGACTCAATGTAGCATAAAAAAGGAGTGAATCTACGTTTAACTTACCCAGGTTGCTTCACTGAGCACAGAATGGTGACTTGCAGGAATGTAACTTGTGAATGCGTTATTTTATGAAGAAATGAAAGTTGGCGACTTTATTGAGCATGAAATTGGTTTAATAAGGCTGCGAATGCGTTTTATTTTGATGCGAAATGAGCTTAAGATGATGTGATGCACAAGGAGTCCACAGAACCTACCTAGACTTTTTGTTAATGATGAGACTGCTTGATCTTCTGTGAGTACTCTACACCAAGTCCCAAAATTGGAATCCTAGTGCCTACACCTACACCCAAACCACGCACATTGTTCTGCGGATAGCCATAAATAAAACCATTGCCGAGATGATTGACCGGATGACTGACCGATATGTCAGACCCGTAGGTGTAGTCCAGCCTAAACACGGGGTAGTTGCCTTGCTTCGATGTGGGCATGCTGTCCATAAACTTGTAATAGTGATACGGGTCTTGTAAGGTCTCCTCCTTGGCGAATTCTCCTTTTTCTACAGGTGCAGGAACAGGGACCGCGGCGACGACACCCGTTGCTCCACTATCATGGCCGACACCTCCAACTGCTCCTTCAGCACCGGGGCGAAAGCCCGCAGCGCCATAGCTTGCGCCTGCACCTAGATATCCGACACTGGAGAGGGCAGGTCCCGTGATAATACCTCCGGCACCACTCAGACCCACAGAACCTTGGCCAGCGCTCCTTGCTGTGACAGCTGGCAGGAAAGCAACGCCTTTTCCAAGTTCCCGAGACATCTTCGCAGTCGCTTGCAATGCTGTAAATCGGGCTAGGCGTATTATTTGCGCTTCCCTGAGCTTTAACTGTTCTTCGGTTAGTCCAGTAACGTCACCGCTTACGTCATCCCTAGGTTCGTTCTGATTCTTGTCTCCTTTGCCACCACTTTTTCCTGAGTCACTACGGCCTTTCCGGCCACTACTTTCCTGTTCCTTGTTTCTTCCCGCAAATTCAGCATCTTTTACGTTCGCACCAGCACTCGGAACATAACCACCTCCAAGTCCTCCATATTCGTAGGATAGCCCACCAGATCCTCGGTCACCGCCACTTCCTCCTCCTCTGACGTCTTGACCACCATAGCCTCCTCCAAGACCTTCGCCTTCTCCTTGCCCGGCATATCCGCCAGCTCCAGTGTACCCACCTTCTCCTTGTCCTCCTCCGCCTCCTCCAGCGTAACCACTGTAGCCACCGCCAAGACCTCCGCCGCCACCTCCTTCTCCGCCGCCATACCCACTAGGGCCACCATAGCCACCACCAAGACTTCCTGCGGCATATGCACTAGGACCACCGTAGCCACTCCCAAGACCGCCACCTCCGTCACCTCCTCCGGCATATCCATTGGGACTACCATAGCTGCCACCAAGGCCTCCTTCGCCTCCTCCACTTCCTCCTGCATATCCACCAGGGCCACCATAGCCACCACCAAGGTGAGCTGCTCCTCCTGCAGGACCACCAGGTCCGCCATAGTTGCCCCCAAGACTTCCGCCTCCACCAGCATATCCAGCAGCAATACCGTAGCTGCCACTTTCACCTGTCTTTGGTCCTTGGTTTCCGTATCCTTGTCCGAATCTTCCGTTTCCGCTATTATATCCACTTTGTCCATCGTAACCGCCAGCTCCACCTTTAACACTTTGGTCTTCGTACCCCCCTCCTAAACCTCCACGCTCATCACCGTAACCAAATCCACCATTGCCACCACCTCCTGCGTTGTACCCTTGAACACCATATGCACCTCCTTGACCTCCATAACGTTGTGCAGCTGTCATACCCCCTTTTGTGTCAGTACTGCCATATCCACCACCTCCACCAGCGGGACCGCCATTTCCACCGCCTCTAAAGTCCAGTCCGTTCATGCCATTTCGGACACCGTATGCATTCATACCTACGGGGGGTCCTCCAGCCCCAAATGCCGCACCTTGTTTTTCAATGTTGCCAAAGCCACCCATACCTTCAAGTCCATGTAAAACATTAGTTCCATACCCACTCTGTCCAAGTTGACCGTGGCCAGCGAATCCACTAAGTTTACCTCCGGGTCCACCATGTCCACCAATTCTACCACCTTGGTCGATATTACCACTATATCCACCCGAGCCACCAAGGCCACTGAAGCCACCGAGGAAGCCCAAGCCCCCATGGCCACCAAGGCCGCCGAAACCAAAGGGCCCTCCGTGACTGGCCGCGCCATCAAGCCCACCGATTCCACCAGGCCCAGCGTGACCAGGGCCACCTTGTTCCATACCAACGTGAGGACCTAGACCCTGGCCTGGTCCGCCAGGTCCACCTGGTGTATCAAAACCACCGTAGCCGCCACCGGGTCCGACTTCTGGCTCCCCGTAGCTTCCTTTCTGGAGAACACCGGGAGGGATGTCTCGCGGCGGGACACCTGGGCCTGGGCCGTCAGAGGGGCCACCGTGTGGTCCCATCTCTCCGATTGGACCTCGGCCTGCTGCTCCTGCCATGGCTCCAAATGGCATGTTCATTCCTCCCATTCCATCCAATCCCTGAGGCACATGAGGCAGCCCTCCGTGGATGTTGCCAGCTCTAACACAACTGAAGATGATGGCCAATACAATACCAGGAACCTGCATATCAAAGTGAATTCGATAAAGAATTTTAGAGGGATAACTTAGAGACCCATTTCAACCGCATGGGTTCTCATTTCGTTGCACTGATATTTGTGTTAACGTTGTTTTACGATAAAATATGTTTGTTTTTTATACCTATATTTGACCGCTAATATAAAGAATTTTATGCAACCTTCATGACGAGTAGGCCAAACAGGAACGAGGGTTCTGCGTCTCCGAATTGTTTACTGACTTTAAAAAATGCGCATACATTTTTTGAAGCCTTTTCAAATAATGTCTCCGCAAGTTATTGAAAATTTTAAAATAAGCAGTTATAAAAGAAAAGAAGGTGATATCTTACACACACAAAAAAAGGTCTAACAACTTTCGAACAAAATCGACACTGCGGGAAAGCAAAAAAAATGTTATCGCTTCTGCAACGATGAGACACTCCGAACGACAGGAGAGGTATTTTGCGCAAGAGGACAAATTGTTCGGCTAGAGAAGCAATTAAAATAACTATGAAATGTCGTCGCACGGATGTATTTTTGTTAACGTCGCGATTTACATGCGTGCAGAAACAGCTGTGTACATGAAATGCATCATCAATGACCCAAACGTGCCGCAATATTTTCATACGACAGTGGGAAACCCGTAGACGTTACTCACCCTAGTTTATTTAGTGTTGAAATTTTCGACACCAAGGCACCACTTGTATTTCTTATGCCGATCCCAATCTGCTGTGCAACACTTTTCGCTAAATGTTTGCTTTGTTTACTTTTGACTTTCAAAAGCATGACAACGCTTTCACGATACGGCCACCAAACATCTGGAAACTTAAGTTTAGGCCCAGACCAATGTAAGAATTGATTTTCTCACATTCTTTTTATCATCCAATATTCACGGCTGGCTGATCCTACCGCTCCTGGCAAGAGAAGAAGTGTAAAGCAATAACGTATAGCGTTGGGAACAAAATAATTAGGTTGCGTTGGCCATGATGTTTAACACACGAAAGTGTACAGGGGGTTATGAGGGTCATCGCAGTTGGCGGCTCCGGGACTAATGTTGAGCATCTTCGTTCTTTCACGCACACACAAATTGATTTACGTTGCTATTATTCCGTTCTGTCACTATTGCAATGGAGCTGCTGTGGCGAGTAATGTACCCCGCCTGGTCTGCAGCTGAACACTTATAGTCCGGTAACTTCCTCCGCAAAGGCACCTGCACACAAGCCAGTGGGCATACCGATGTCATGAGCCGGACGGCTGGTGAACACCCGCCTTCGAAGAACATTGCCAAGTGCAAGAGTGGGACTATATCTTTAGTTCCGGAGGCATTCCGGTGGCACACTCGGGTCGTCAAGAAGGAGCTTATCTTGATTTATGATGTTGTAGTTGACTATATCAGTGACCCTAATAGGAATAGCCGATGGTGGTCTCTTCACAAACTAACGTGCTCAGGCAGATTAGCCCACTTTTTTTTCGCTAGTTTATTATCTCTAACATTTAGGGTATTGTACTTTTACTCCCCTTGCTGTCCCATTTGCAGCTAGAAGGCAAACTGTACAAAAAAAAAAAACGCATTTTTTACCCACTTTATATATATGCTGCCGAAACCCTCTGCGCCTCTTTCATCCTACCTTGTCGTTGCGGGCACGTTTCTGAGAGATAGAGTATGTCACTCAAAATTTACCGCCGTAACAGAAACCCGCATTCGTCACTTAAATATTCAGTGCCTCTGTTGTGGAAATTCGTCACTACGCGTCCTACTGGCGCATGAAATCTTAACGCACTCTGATATATGCAATGGGCGGCATTTCCGTAATTTTTTTGTCAAAAATCATGCGGGTCGTGATTTGGCGCAGGGTTTGACCTTATTAGAGCTCATTCCTAAATATTTCACCATATAGCCGTCATTTATTGATGTCGGAGTAGTCGATATTCGACCTTTTGTCACTGGTGTATACTTACGTTTCCAGCAGTATATTACAATAAAATCATAGTAATATAATGCTTTTTTTTCATATGCCGGAGAAAAACTTAACGATTGCTTCCAATTACGTCGCTAATGATTTAAATTGCTTCTAAATATATATTGAACCCTACAACCGAAATCACCGAGCTACAGCGGGAACTGTGATATAGTGCAATGCAACCATCTTTTGCACGTGAGTAGTGACATGATGCCTCAGTACACCATTTGTAGCAAGCACCATTGCCTCCTTTACATCTATTCAAGCAAATATTCGGCCAAGCCTGCATGCGCGACTACGTCCGAGGCGCTGCATTTGTGTAAGAGAACCACTTGTGAGTACGAGCGGTCGAAAATAAATCTCAACACCAATTTTATGGTGATATAATCAGTGTAACATTACAAAAGCACAAATTAATGGGCTACTTCTGCGAAGACGGTTACACAGATTATTTGGTAGCTGAGTATGAATAAAACAGGGTGAGGTCATCCTTCAACTCAGCGGTCATAATAGACTGTGTAAGCCGAAAGTATTAATGTGAGATTGGTACAGTCATGGGAGGATGAGGATACTGTACAGCCGGCTGAATGCTGAAAAAAGCTCAATCATTTCATGGCGAGCACTTCGAATTTAACGCGCATACATAGCTATACACGGGAAAACATTGCAACCGGGATAAACGAAACCGTGTGAGCGTCCGACGCTATCTGTCGTTTCACTCACGCGTCATCGCTAAAGCATGCGTGGAGATAGCACACATTCGAAATGCGAGGCTACATAAGACGACGATCGTGGCAACGATGATTGACGGCCTGAGTATCCATAATCCACGCACGGAGTCGCCTGGTCACGTACTCGGACGCCACCGCGACCGGACACGAGGCTGAAGTTGAAGTGGGGTGGCCTTGACAAAACCCTGTGTCCGCGCCAACCCGCTTGTCTATTCAGCCGTCGCACCCACGCACGCTCTATAGCGCGGATGAGACTGCGGCATGTCAAAGTCCGAATCCAGAAGCACTTACGAGTTGCCGCATGGTGGTGCTCATTGCTTGCGAGCATTTGTTTATCCAGTGTGCGGCATTTCTCTCCAGCCTCCTTTTATATGACGCCAAGGGGGAGACGGAAAAGGCGGCGCCTCCGGTTTCAGGAAAAAAAAAAAAAGAAAACGGAAACACCGAGGCCCCGCCGCAAGGCGCCACTCCCCACGCGAGTGGTTCCTCCGCCGCTAGCGCGACCAGGGCGCTTTGCTGCGCGTCGCGGCTACCCCTCTCGCGTGTGCAAACGCGTCCGCGATAAAGCGCCGATGCCTCATAGCGGAGAACGGCGCCGCTTTCACTGTGGGTTTGTTTTCTTTCTTTTTCATGGTTTTCTTCGTTGCGATCTTGCACAGGCAGTCTTTATTTAGCACCGTTTCAAGGCGTTTGCGTGCTGCTCATGGGCGGCCCCTATTTTGAGTGGACGGAAGTCAAATTTTTTGTCGCATACGCTTGGTTTCGACCGATTGGATGAAAGTCCATTCGGAGTAGTTTGCATGGCACCGATAAGAAAACATCGACTGCCCGATTAGGCTTCCGTAGAGTGGCACCCAAAATGAGCGCCCGGCGAGTGAATATTATCGCAATACGCGTTACACCGCTTCAAGTGGTTGACGCAGCGTCGTCGTAGTGGCTTTCGCCAAGTTGTGCTGTTTATTTTGCTTCCGTGGATTATAGCATAGCTGCGGAGGCTTTTATCTAAACCGTCGAGAGGACTGCGCGAAGATCTATGCTTGTGCTACAAGTGCACAGGAAGTACGGTGGTGTGTAATAGTGAGGACAGGAAACTCATCGCCCCTTTTTTGAAATCTGTTAAGCCAAAGTTGGCGGCTTGGTTAACTTGGGATGTCAGTAAGAAATACACCAGCCATTCACTTTGTGTGAGCACTGCGTCATCTAATCTTCACGGAATAGTTCTTATAAAAATGTTTTTATCTATGAAAAGACCACCTATTTAGCATCAACAAACGTTTGGTGCAAAATACATGCCTCTAGTGCCTAAGGTACTCGGCTTCGGACCCGCAGGTCGCGGGGTCTAATCCCGGCTGTGGCGGCTGATTTCTGATGGAGGCGGAAATGCTGTAGGCCCGTGTGCTCAGATTTGGGTGCACGTTAAATAACCCCAGGTGGTCCAAATTTCTGGAGCCCTCCACTACAGCGTCTCTCATATTCATATGGTGCTTTTGGGACATTAAACCCCACATATTAATTAATTACATGCATGTAGTGCGCTATTGGAAACACGCAGGTATATTACAAGACTTCAGGATGCGTCACACAACAGATCTCTGTGTATGAAAATAAAATGATTCACTGATAGCAGCCTTTTTAACAAGCGCAGCTTTACATGTCTAAGGCGCCAAGGGTCATTGTGATGGTGCAAGTACGTAAGTAACGTTCCCATCTTAACATACGATTGTTTATAGCCCTGAATAAGGGTCGACAGAGCAGTTAGCGCATTTTTCTTTTGAGAAAATAAATTAGTTACATTTAAAAGCAGTTATGCATATAAAGTCCACTCACAGTTTTTATTTTTTTATTTTAGATAATTTCAAATTGCTTTGTTGGCCACCTTATTGCTCTGTTTTCAAAAAAAATATGAACAACTTGATGGCCATTGAGTGGATGTCACTGTACTGGTATCTCTACGGCTGTGCGTGGGCCGTTAATTATAGGCTGTTCGGCATATGCCAAACTATCATTAATCTCCATATTGGATGAACCGAATGTGAAACTATGGTCATAGATTCTCTACATATACAGAGTGTCCAAAATGATCTTCGCAATCATGCACAATCAAAAAGTTGGGAATATATTTATAGATGCGGTTTGCGTCAAAGTGTTCACCTACACGTAAAGTTTTAGTAGTTAATTACTGAGTTAAATGTGTGTGCGGTCAGTGGTAAGCACGATATCCAAGCGATGTTCTAGTCTGGCCAAGTATGTCTGCCGAAAGTGCTGCGCCCATGCGAGCTGGTAGTTCCTGTAGGTCCCACACTGGGGCCTTGTAGACTACATCTTAAATGTCTTGGTTTACAATAAAGCTTACACTGTTTGCAAATATAATTCTACAAAGAGCAGCTTTCTGTATAATCTCATTTCCTATTTCTACGTGATCAAAGTTGGAAGAGTTGTTTTGGAGGCATTCGTAAAATTTATCGGATTGAATGGTCTGCGCAACTTCCTCTATGCTGTCACCAGTGTTGTTGTATATATATATATATATAAATAAATATATATATATATATATATATATATATATATATATATATATATATATATATATATATATAAATAATAAATATATATATATATATATATATATATATATATATATATATATATATATATGGAAGGGAACTGCAGAAAGGAGAAAGGCAGGGAGGGAAGGGAGGTTAGTCAGCTCAGATTAAAAGACATTCTGAAGTAGTATATAGTGTACTTCACTATGCTGGCTGGTGCATTGTGGTACTGAATAAAACAGCACTTTGCACAGGAATGAATGCAGACAACAGACACGTCGCTTCTTAACAACCCAGGCTGATTGCAAAATCAGTGGAAATATATTGGAATCCAGAATCTGCGCACACAACAAAATGGTGGAGAACTCTTCAGCTTCATCGCACGTGTAAACCACGATCGGACCATCGGGTTTCGTTCCTGTTGCCTTCTCAATCGCTAGCCTGGTTTCGCATCTCGGCGGAAACCTCAGTTGTGCCTCGAAGAATGAAACATATGTGCAAGTTCAAGGGCCGTTTGAAACTATCGTGGAATGCCTACTGCAATTACAGGTGCGAAGTGCCCCCTGCGCCATAATTCTTTTGTGAATAAGCGAACTACGAACTATGCATCCGTAAGGCAACACACGCGTCTACACACTGCTCACTTTGTCTATAACCTACTTTTACTGCTGATAACGAATAAATATGCCTGAACACTTTGTGATGAGTGGACCTTTGAAAAACGCACTCGTTGCGCTATGCAGATGTTCTGACGCCTTACGCGCTTCTATACTTCTCACGCAACATGCGTTAAGGAGGCTCCTCGTACTGCACGACATTTTAGTGGTTGCCTTTTGTTTCTTCATATTCAGCTCCGAGCAATACAGTTGCTTTGTGGTAGAACACCTGCCTGTCTCCCGAAGGCCTGGGTTCCATTCCTACTCGAGCAGGGCATTTTAATTTATTTATTTATTTATTTATTGTGAAGCATTTTTGTTGCCTTCTGCAAGCACTTTTGGCGTTTGTCTGTCTAGCTGCCAATGTCTGAGCGCTCTCGTGATCACCCGCTAGCTTGGGGTAAACCAAAATTACTATGGGAGGGTGAGATGGTTTGACAAATACGACTCGCTGGTATTGACATGAATAATGTCACAAGATTCCGTCATGTACGTAGTCAAACACTTTCCGCCAGACAGTGGCACATACCCGCGGGCCGGTGTGTGCCACCGATGACTGACACTTCATATCTGCGCCGGAACGTCCAGAACTCACATGGGTAATATTAACACGTGAGCGTTGACTCTACGAATGTAAAGAAAAAAAAAACGTCAGGGTGCCAGCAGGAATCGAACTCTAGCATTTCTTGTGGCCACCAAGTATTCTACCACAGAACCACACCAGGTCTCACAACTACATTTCGAATAGAGCGTAATGTTCCTGAAACGCCAATTGGGGATGCAGTGATGGCTATGTAATTTTATCAACATTGCATATGTACTCCTATGATACAGCTGTCATGTCGGATAAAGATCAACTGTAGTTAAGCGCATGCACTGAAAGTGATTGACAGTTTATATCATTCAAGGAACGGCGAGAACAGGCATTGGTAGCATTAATTTAGGAGCGTTAATAATTATCAGTGCATCTCCACGAAATTAATGACGATGAGTGGGTGAAGCTTTAGATCCTATGGTCCATGATGTCGACGTTGAAGTCGAGGACTAGTATAAAGGACGGACAGGTAGACGCATCCATGAATAAGAGGACGCATGGATGGATAGATGGACGGCTAGTGTCATGATGTATTTTGCTGTTGTATAGTTGATTGCATATTTAAGTCGGTTGTTTACACATATGTTTATGTTTCTGTTGTGTTCAGTTTTGGTTTGGGTTTTGTGGGGTCACTCCTAAACTCCTAGGAGTGACCACTCGCCCCGCCACGGTTGTCTAGTGGCTAAGGTACTCGGCTGCTGACTCGCAGGTCGTGGGATTGAATCCCGGCTTCGGGGGCTGCATTTCCGATAGAGGTGGCAATGTTGTAGGCCCGTGTGCTCAGATTTGGGTGCACGTTAAAGAACCCCAGGTGGTCGAAATTTCCGGAGCCCTCCACTACGGTGTCTCTCATAATCATATGGTGGTTTCGGGATGTTAAGCCCCACATATCAATCGAGGAGTGGCCACTCCTAGACTAACGGACTCACGAGTCGACTCACTCAGACTCAGACCAAGCCCTGAGTCTGAGTCTGAATGGGTCTGAATAAACCATGTTTTGGCGAGGTTTAGTCCAAGTGAGCCCGGTTGAAGAAAATGTTCGTGAGTGTGAGTCCGAAGCTCAAAATATTATGCATGAGTGAGTCAGAGTGAGCCCCACAAGTTTTACCGACCTATGGTGGAGTGTGATGAATGACAACTAGGTCAGCCCTAAGGAGCCCCTCCCCTAATAGCTGAGATCGGCAGCGTTGGTCCAGGGAACGCATAGAACAAATATCATGGTCCCAGCAGGAATTAAACATCAGCATTCTGTGTGGCAATGAAGATTTCTATTGCAGAGCCACGCCAGGTCTCGTAACTGCCTTTCAAGTAGTGCGTAATGTTCGTGAAATGTCAGTTGTGGTTGCAGTACTGGCTATTCAATCTTAAAAACAGTACATACGTGCTCCTATCGTACAGGAGTCACATCGGTTTGACGACCGTTGTAGTGAAGCGCAATCCACTGAAGCTCACTCATTGAGCATTGTCCAGGGCAGCCATCCTCGCTGGTACAAGGGCTGCATAACAGATAACTACTTCTGGTGTTGCTAATACCCA